GTTGAGAGCCATTCACTGAGCCTGCAATAGTGCCTTAAAAGTGGGATGTAGGGGAGAAAAGTGCTGGTTTGTGCCTCATTTTCACTTCTTAGTAACCATTGCTCCTCATGAAAGCCTCTAAATAAACCTTTTTGATTGTAATAATTTGTTGGTGACTGTTCCTCATCAGCCTGGGCCTCCCTTCTGCCAAACTCCTCTAAAAACTTACTGGTGTCTCAAGCAGAAGTTTCTGGCTTTTTAAACAATAGAAGATTAATAATCTAATTCAGGTTTCCTTCACTCCCCTTTGGGAAAAAATGTCAACTCAAACTTAATGCACAGATGGAGAAAGAATTGTCATATGGAGCTGCCACACATACCTACAACCCAGACTCAGTGCAGGAGTTTGCTGTGTTCCAGATTCCCCCACTTGATGTGTGACAGATTTCCTGTCCCTGTGTTGGCAAGAGGATTCACACCATCTTTCAGCAGTTTGAGTGGTTATTTGGGTGTTTGTACCATGTTTTGTCATTCCTACATAAAAGTATTCAGGGATCATTACCAGGAGTTCAAGTGTCACATCACCAAATCACTGACTGCAAATGCTTAGGGAGAAAAAAAGAGGAATATTTTTGGCCAGGTAGTTGCATAAATGACAGGGCTTGGTGGGGATTATGAATATAATGATACTTCAGTTATTACAGTGATTTTGAACATCTAGATCCATTCTACAGGTCTCTTTTTAATTACAGGAGCTGACTTAGAATTGCTGTGCCTCTGTCCCTTAGCTGTAAAGTGAAGGTTTTAATTATTTGCTGTTTCCATCGCTGTTTGTTCCCAGAGATTTTGTACTGGTTTGATGTGACCACAGCAGAGCACACCTCCCTCAGGTCTGCCCAAAAGGAACGGGCTAAAAGCTGCTACTAAGGTCAACATTGTTGGTGAAAGGCTAGATACTTGTGCAGCACCATTGAAAAGTGCCACTCCTGAGTTTGCCAGAGCTCTGTGTGACTGTGCTCAACTGAGCAGCTCCTTCAGCCTGAATTTCTGCTTTTAAAGTGTAAACTTTGCATCTTTATCTCACAATGGTGCTGGGAAGCTGAGTCAGCTTAGTGTGTGCAACTCTTCAAATCCCTGAAGAAGCTGAAACGATGAATGTTGCCACCTGTGTGGGCACAGGCTGTGCAATTGTGAGAACCTCCAGGGAACATTCTCATTTCCCAAGAAACAGGGTTCCATTGAAACAGGTTTTTGTCCCATGCAAGAGAGAACTTTGCCAACATTAGCAACCATGGGTCTGATCACATCTCTCGTTTGGGTGACTGCAGGCACGGTGTGCTCCAAACCCAACAAGAGTTTACATCAGCAATGAACACACAGAACACTTCCATAATTATTTTCAGCCTTGCCTAATTTTCAGAAGAAACAGCAAAGCACAGCATAACTCTAATCTTACCAATATGGTTATTATCATCTGCAATAAAAATGTCACCTCAGGTATTAGCAGCGCTGCTAAATCACTGGTCTGACTTGAAGTCTTCCATCTGGAGATGTAAGTTAAGGACAGTTTATCACAGGAGTGATTTATTGTGTAAACAGATCTTGCTGCTGGCATTTAGGAGAACGTGGCTGCCTGCCACTCAGCCAAATTCTTTTATCACACTTGACTGAAGTTCCCAGCCTTGAATTATTAGTTAATAATATCCGAGCGAAAGCATAATTTATTGTTTGAGTAAACTTTGAAACATAAAAACAGTGTCTTAGCTCCCAGACTTAGTGCTTGCCTTAGGCAAAGCATTTTTCTTTCAGTGCAAAATTGTAAGAGAACAGGAGAAAGATTTGTAACTAACTCCAACGCTTCCTGCATGTATAATTTACCTAATGGCAGAACAAAATCTCCTGAGCTGTTCTTCCCTCATTTCTGAATTGTAAGACCATCAGCCTTCATGAGCAGAGGTCAGTCACACACAGTCAGACATGTCCAAATCTCAAAATTTAAAAGCAACACCCCTGTGGTTTCCTGATAGGGAAATTTGATACCATCCCTTTTTTATCATTTCATCTGTTTTATCAGTAGGGCTTGAGGAAACCCACGGGTTTCCCCCTCAGAGGCACCTGTGGCTAATTTAGAGCAAGAAGTTCTCTCATTGAAAGGAATAACCTTGTCTGACAACAACTGCTTAGCATTTAGGGTATTATTTACAGCAGTGCCATGATACCAACAGCCAGCAGATGCCAGCACACACACGAGCACTAAAAGTGCCTCTTTCATGCTAAAGGAGGGATGGTGCATGTGAGAAATGAAGCCCAATCCCCAAAATTTCAAGAGTTTAATAAGGGCTAATAAGGAACAGATCAATAAAGCAAAAGTAACAGTTCTGGGAGCATGGCAACAGCCAGAGGCACCCCCAATTCTTTAGCCAGCAGTCCCTCATACTGTTGGATTGCATTACTTCCCCAAATGACTGCACTTTTTCAGAGCCTGTTTACCACAGCTTTGCCTCCAGGTGCCACAGCATTGCCTAAGCCCACAGGCACAGTCTGGGAGGGTCCAGCAGGGAGGCACTCCAGGGTGGTCTTCTGATGCCATTTCAGACTTGGTTTGCTGCTTTTATGGCATTTTGTTCTCTGCCTGAGTTGTTGTGGACTTATGCCTTGTGAAGGCTGACCTAGAGCAGAGACTAGACAGAATTAAAGAATAAAGTAGGGATTTATTAAAAGGATCTCCTCAATGGATCCACCTTGGGCAGCACAAGAGCCCGGCCAGGGCTGCACCCAAGATGAACCCAATGGCCCCAAAATGCCCGAGTGCTCACAGGGTCTCTCACTTTTATAAGTTCTGCTCCATTTGCATATTGGAATTAAGTGTCTAATTTCAGTTTTAGCCCAGGCAGTCCCATCCTGCTTGCTTTTCTCTCTTCAGCCCAAGGTGTTTGTGCTCTTGGGCCTGAGATTTGGATCATTTGTCCTTGGTCCCCAGCTAGAGAAGGAATTGTTTTGTCTCCCTACTCTGTGAACAGAGCTCACCATCCCCTAATATGAAGCCCAGAACTACACACTAAAGCAGCACAGAATCTGAAAATATAAAAACTAAAACCTCAGGCATCAATACCTTTTGCAAGAGCAGTCATGTCTTGTGATCCGTCTTTTGCAAGCCCGCTTACTTCCTGTGATAGCCTTGCTTCATGCACAATTTTAGTTACACTGTTCACAAAAGCAATTACAATTTGCACTATATCTACAAAAGCAGTTACAATTTATAAGAATTTGCCAAAGCAAATTTATAATAGTGAAAGCCAACTCTTCCATAGCAGATTGTAACAGCGTAGAGCTGTCCCAAGTGTGTGAACCCAGAGAAGTGAACTTTCTCTTCAATGTTTCATTGTCATATATAAAAGATATAAAATATGCATTGTGCTAAACTTAATTTTGGATTTAAAGATGCCACATATTGGAGAAAGGACTATACACTGGTCTAGCAGGTAACTGCCTTCTCTCTTCAAAACTGAAGTTCCATATGGAACTCAGCCTGGAATTTCAAGCCTAGTTTGATCTAGGGTTTTTTTCTTTTGCATAATGAATTGAGGATCCTTAATATCAGATCTTCTATTTGTGTCAGTGTCAAAATCCCCCCATCACCTCTGCACAGTGAAACCTCGGAACACGCCAGGATTTTGGCTGCCCACATGAAACAGTGCAGGGAGGAAGAATGAAAGGCCAGGTGCTCACGCTGCAAACACTGCAATCCCTTCAAGCACTGGTGGTTCTTTTTTTCTGAAATTGTCACCGCTCCTGCCAAAAGCCTTTGCAGCACCATAGTCACAGCCTTCTGACATTAACTGAGTGATGGAGATCACTTCTGACAGACCTCTTCCAGTGCAGAAAACACTGGTCCCAGATTGGTAAAAAAATCATCAGGCAAGTCCTCGCTGCCAGTGGAGATGGAGCAGGGGGAGTTTCTGGCCTTTAACTCTCCTTCCTCAGTATCTTCAAGGTGTCCCCATAATCTTCCAGTGTGCTTTAGGAATACACTTTCTAAAGAAGGGAAGAAACAATGCAAGTCAGCACAAAAGCTCTGACTGCCCTTCAGCTGAAAACCCCAGACAAAAGCAGTTTAATTAGCAGATATGCCCTTTCAGCAGTTTATTAGCAGTTAATTAGCAGTTATGACCTTTGTTTTGGCAGTCATGCCTGCTACCTGGAACACAAGTGAGTTGAGCTCACCCAGCTCAGCTGATGTTGAATATCACAGTCTGACAGGCCTTGTGACACCCTGCACATTCAGCTTGTTTTACCCAGAACCTGGTCCAGTTTGCCAACTCTATTCCAGACTCCAGCCATAATCCAGTCCAGGATTTTGCTTTTGCCAACTCCACTCCATACTCCAGTCCAGGTTTTCCCTTTGCTGAGTCCATTCCAGGCTCCAACTGGAATCCAGTTCAGGTTTTCACTTTTGCTACCAGTCCGGGTTTTCCCTTTGCTGAGCCCATTCCAGGCTCCAACTGGAATCCAGTTCAGGTTTTCACTTTTGCTGATGCCATATCAGACTCCAGCCAGAATCCAGTCTGGGTTTTCCCTTTGCTGAGTCCATTCCAGATTCCAGCCAGAATCCAGTCTGGGATTTCCCATTTGCAGAGTCCATTCCAGACTCCAGCCAGAATCCAGTCTGGGTTTTCCCTTTTGCAGAATCCATTCCGGACTCCAGCTGGAATCCAGTCTGGGTTTTCCCTTTTGCAGAATCCATTCCCGACTCCAGCCAGAATCCAGTCTGGGTTTTCCCTTTGCTGAGTCCGTTCCAGATTCCAGGTGGAATCCAGCCCAGGATTTCCCACAGCCTGGGTCCCGGATGGAATTGCCCGAAGATGAAGCAAAATTCCGTATTTTTCTGGCTTCCCTTGGCCAGCAGGAGCCGGGATGTGCTGAGCCACCCCCTCCACCCAACACTGCAATACTGGAATTCTCTCCAAGAAAATTCAGTGGTGCCATCTTGAGAAAAAAATACAACTCAGCAACAAACAGGGCAGTATCTCACTTTTATTGTAGCAAATATACGGGACCTTTGAATGACAAGATCACTTTCTCAAGGAATTACTAGCAAAAATATCCACAAAAAGTTCAAATAAATAAGAATACATGAATACCAACATCAAAAGCTGGTCTGCAAATCCTCAGTTAATCAAGTTCAGTCCTTCCAGCGTGGTCTGTGTATTTTTCAGATGAAAAACCACTAATGCAATGGGAGCAACAAAGGCTCATTACCTTTAAAATAAGGCAAAAAATAGTGCATTCTAGGCAATTTCATACTGTAGAAATTTTATGTATCAGCTCCAAAAAAGCACATACTGGCTCAAAAAACTGTCAAAATTCTCTCGGAATTCTAACAAGATCCTTTAAATAGCAAATACAAGGTCAAAGTTACCTGAAACAATGAATGAAACACAGAAAGGACACGAACAGTGACAGGATGAGGGCAGATCTCGGAGTCTGGAGTCAAACAGGACAGCTTAGCCCAATGGAATCAGCACATCCCTCCCTGAAGCATTATCCTGCTGTATCCAACTGAAAACGAGGTGGGAAAATTACTGCCCTCAGCATGAGATGCAAGCAATGGAGAAAAAAGGAACATGGCAAGAGAAAAACAATATTGCTTTAAATATTAAATATTTAAATTTTAAAGGAAAACAGTTTATACATATTAGAGTGAAATTCTGTTTCTTCACATCTTCTAACAGGGTCATTTCACTGAAAATAACTGAGTTGTTCAAAGTTTATACTCATGCAACTTGAAGCAGAGTCTGGCTGTTTATTTGAAATACAACCTGAGCATATCTGTTCTGTAGGTAATACTGCAGAACAATAAATCTTTACATTCTCTAGCAAAAAAATAAATCACTCTGTTTAAATATCTCACATCACAGTAAGCTGTTCTTCAAGAAGCATCACCAGTGCTAGGCTTAGATCCATATGATCATATTGCTAAACCTTGTAAAAAAAAAGGCTAATAGCCACACAAACATGGTGCTGTGGAAGTATTTTAAGAAATTGATTTTAAACTGAATGTTTGATGGAATAAATTTTTCTGCTCTGTTCAGAAGTGCTTCTAAAGACAATATGCAGCAATACAAAATGAAAGAAATATAAACCACAGTCCTCTTCATAAAAGGAGCTCTTTTCATCTGTAGGCCCAGAACATGGTGAAGACAAAATGGAAACAGGATAAAACCCAGCCCTTGCAGGTCTGCTCAGCCAAGAGCTGTTTGTTGAGGCAAACACATCATTTCTGTGTGTGAACAAAGACAAGCATGTCAGAAGTGTCAAATCAATGACAGAAATTAGACTGGTGTGATTATCACGAGACAAACCTACTTGGCCAGATCCCAGATGGAGCTCAGTGATAAACATGTTTTCAGACTTCTTTAAAGTGCCATCACCATCTCCACCTGCTTCTCTTTTTAGTCTCCAACAACAGACTGGTGTCCATAAGATGACAAACACAACACTAAAACTTTCCTACCTCTGTGACAAAAGACTTTTCCCAGTGCCAATCACCTTTGCTCTGGTCACAACTGGTTGAAATGGGGTTTATTTATTCTTAAAGAAATGATCATGCAAAATGTGCCAGTATCTACATGGCCTCCTTACAACCCAGGAAAGCTTCCATTTAGAAAATTTAGCATCCAGCAATATTCAATGCTATAACAACATGCTAAATTATTTACTGCATCTATCAGAATTTATTTTTTAAAAACTGCTATTCTGATTATTGCCTGGATCCTGCTCACCTCAGGTTTGGTACTTGTAACAGTGAACTAGAACAGTGCATTAAAATCCTGATTATTGGCAAAGCAGCTCTCCTATTTTTCACTACTGCTCATGTGAATCAGGAAAACTTGGCTAAGGCAGGCTCGCAGAATTTGGCCAGAGCTGGAAATATTAGCACTGGGTGCAGGAACATTTCATCTAAAAAAGCTGAAATACATGAGGCTGGACCAAAACAAAAGGGTGAAACAGCAACACTGGGATGTGCTGGTCCTCTGCAGCTGCTGGTGTTCAGTCCCATCCTGAGTGCCACCACACCTCTGACACAGCCACTTTCTCTGGTCTTTGAGCATCTCAGATTCAGTTTCACTTGAATTGCATAGAGCTGAATGTACATGCAACTACAATTCATATTAAGTGTAACTTTACAAATACTGATTCTGGACATGTAATACTGTCTATTACATTCATTTCCTTTACCAACTCAAATTTTCATGTTTGGTCTCCAGTAGACTAGGAAAAAAACACTAAAAATATTTCTTAGACTATTCCTGAGCAATGTTTTTATGTACTGTAAAATACTCTACTTTATTACTACATTTCTTAATATTCTCACTTTTCAAAGTACATATAAATTCATGCTTTGAAATTTTATAAAGCTGAAGATCTGGTAGGCACAATGAAAGATAGAAACAGCTAAGCATCTTAAAACCAAGATGAGCTCACCAAGAGAAGTGCAATTTAGCTATATACATAATGTACTCTTTAGTATTTGCTACTTTTTCATTTTCTACCACAATGTGAAGGATCCTCTTGTAGAATCTGGTCCATCAGACCTCAGCTCACTTCTGATGAAGACTCGGACTGGTGGCTGAGGAGGAAAATATGCTGACCAGGATTTTAAAGTGAAGGTGACAAACATTATTTAGAATTTCATCTTAACAAGATCCTGTCCCCAGCTGCTGTGATTGATTTGAAATTGTAATAGATCAAGTGATATTTGAATATTCTCAGAACTTTCCTTTCTCCTGTATCTCACAGACACAAGAGAAGACAGAAGGCCCAAGGAGAGGACCCAATCCTGGTCGAACAATTTTCTACTGCAGGACACTTCCTCATCTCACCTTCCTAAACCTTAAGAAGCCAAGCTAGACTGGACCACAGGAAAAATAAGAGTCATCTCAGATGACTAAAAATAGGTATCTTCTGTATCAAAATATATCTTTACTTGAACTTTCAACACCCTTTAAATTATTCTTCTCTTAAGAATCTGGTTTTTATGTTTTGAGAGGCTACCAGTTCTGAAAACTAGGCCATACAGTCTTTGCTAAAAGCCTTAGTTTTCACAACTCAAATACATGCATGTGCAATTTGAAATCTGGTCATTTCCCCCAAATGAAAAAAAAGCATCATGGCCTACAAAATGAACTTCCAGGAAAGCTGTCTGTAAACACAGTGAAGGTTCCAGGGTATAAAAATACACATTCCATTTTCTTAATCTGTCATTCCTGAAGCTGTCTGGTCCCTAACACTTTGTCTTAAAAAGAATTCTTTCCGCATTAAAATATTTCAAAACATTATTTCCATTCTTCTTCTTCTCAAAAAATAATACCTATTTCATCCAAAAAATCCAATTCATCACCTTCTATGAAGAATTAGAGTTGACTTTGCATAGATAACAGGCTCCATTATGTTATAACAACACCAAAATCAAACCTGTCTTACAAAAAGCACATCAGGGCAAAGAGAAAGAGCATGGACCCTATTCCCTCACACCCAGCAGGGTAAGTACAAGAAACACTCAGCTAGTGCAGACAGGATGTTCTACACTTCTCTAAACGTCACACTGTGCTATTGTTATCTTCATTGAGCAATTATAAATATTTTTGAGGAAAGACCAATGGAAGACATTTGCCTTCAGAGAAAACATTTCCTGCTGGCTTAAGATCAAATCTATAGAAATGAACAGTGCTGACTCAGAACCACGTGCCAGGAACATTTTTCTCAGGATCTTCCTGTGAAGAAAAAAAATATTCTTCTGCAGTGGCCAGATGCTTTCTAGCAGTCAAGGAGCATCAACATTCACTAATGAGTTTTCCCTCACTGAAATTTGCGTGGTGTTTGCTTTGTGCCATTTGTTTTTATTTTCCTGTCCACTGTTGTTTTTTTAGGAGGAACATAATTGCTGGCATTGCCATTTTTCTTTGGATTTGTACACACGTATGTTTTTAAGCCTTTGATGGGAGCAGCTGCACCGTGGAATGCTGGGGTTTGCTTAGGGGGTCTGATGTTACCAACACTTTGGATTTTAGAGCTGCTCTCGGGGGGCTGCAGACTGAGAAGCTGCTGCTTTGCAGCTGGTTTCTTTCTCAGTTCACTCCTTACATCACCAGTTTGCCTCTGAGAAGATGCTGCACATCCCATTCTCTCAGGAGCCTTCAGGTGACCTGGATGGGAGCGCGCCTGGCGAGTCTCCTCAGAGCACGGCTCTGCCCTGTGACCCAAACAGCTCCTGGGCAGCCTGGCAACACTTTCCTGGGGCACTGCCTGCCTGGGGGGCACAGGGCTGAGCAAGGCTTTGCCTTTTCCAGGGCTCTTGAGGGCACGGCTGGGCCCGGGGGCAGTCTGGGGCCGGGCTTTGGTGGCCCTGCCCCTCTCGCTCTGCACCGTCTGCATCTGCAGCCACTCCAGCTGCAGCAGGCGCTCCAGGTACTTCTCCAGGGATCCCGTGGGCTTGGGGTGGAAATCAGCTTTCCCTTCCACGTGGGCAAAGGTGGCCAGCTGCTTCAAGTCCCACGAGTTGAAAGGGGGTGGCAGGAAGTCGGGGTAGTAATATTCAGATTCTTTAAATCCCATTTCAGGGATGTGTTCCAAACAAACTGGGTCGATTTCTTCAGCTCTGAGGATGAGTTCTGGTGGTGTGCAGGGAGAGGGGGGAATGGGAATCCTTTCTGAGTCAGAGAGGTCACTGGCACTATCATCTTCAGCATCTTCTTTAATAATTTGTACCGATTCAAAATCAAGAAACATTTCACCTACAGATGCTTCTTGCCATTTGGAAGAGCCTGGACTGGCTTCAGCAATGTATTCTTCATGATTCTTTCCCAACTGTTCTTTTTTACTGCAATAAAAATGCTGCACTGGGACATCCTCAGCCCTACAGAAGTTTTCTTGTGTGCTGCCCTTTGTGCCAGGGGGGATCCTGTGCAAGAAGGATTCATTTTGCCTTCTTTCTGGGGGACTCCTGTGCAGGAAGGATTCATTTTGTCTTCTTTCTGGGGGACTCCTGTGCAGGAAGGATTCATTTTGTCTTCTTTCTGGGGGACTCCTGTGCAGGAAGGATTCGTTTTGCCTTCTTTCTGGGGGACTCCTCTTTGGTCCTTGCGCACTGTGCAGTGAGCTGCAAACACTCAGGATCCTAAAGGAAAAGGAAGTTCATGTCCTGTTAGAATGGTCAGTACCTTTGAACAGCAGCTTACAAAGGTCTTGCCACCCCTTCAAGGATGGGGATCTCCACAACTGAAGCTAAAACTGGCACAGAAACTTGGTAATGAGGCAAAATCCATAATTGCTGGTGGAGGCAACACTGCCTACTACTGATTTCTTTGTTTTGTTTTGGTTTGGTTTTTTTTTTTTTATAGTTTTGCCTGAGAACTCACTAAAGCAGGATAGCAAGTTTCCATTTTGATAACTAAAATTTGTTGTTATCATAAATGCTGAACTCTGAGCCAGTGAAGTCAAATGCAGCTCCAATTTCATCACAAGCATTTTGTCAACCAGTTTGAAATAACTATAAATTAAACAGATAATTTTAACATAAAATTACCTTTTTGACTGATTATTGCCATCCAGCTGGTTCCTTCCCTTCTTATAAGCATTTGGTTGGTGACCATCTTGAGTGTTATGGGAAATCTGAAGGGAGATAAAGTTTATGATGTTATTAAGAAACTGACTTAGAGTAGGTACCCTTTTTATGTTAGAAAAGGGAGTTATTTACCTTTTCAATGGCACTTGATACATTTTTACCTAATCTTCCAGGAGGAGATTTTGCACAAGAAATTGGTTTAGTGAGTCCTTTGGTGCTTGGATGGCTTTTTCCATTACTGCAACCACAAAGGATTAAACAGAATATCAGATAGAAATAGCAGCATATATGAGTGTCAGAGTGGAAGTACAATAAAAACTTAAGAGTACAACTGAGTTTAAAAAAAGGGCTGATTGCAGTCATTCTTAAAGTTGAAGATTATTAGGACTATGCCACTATGGCTACTTTTTATTTTTTACACTCCAAATTCACTGCTGTATTTTTAATATTATTAATGCAAAAATGAATAATTCTATCAGATGATATAATAATAGAATGTAGTCCTTATATAGAATCCTCTGTCAGAGGATCCCAAAGCTTCTTTGGACATAATAAATATTACAGATATTTAACTACTGATTTTTATAGTACCTAGTAGGTGCTCCAATCACAATTTACCAAAATTAATTATAAAGTACAATATGAAGGTCACATATGAAGCCAAATCTTGCTTGTCTTTCTCATTTGCATATTCTCAACAAAATTTAAAGGATTACTTCTTTGAAGATAAGGAGTGGAAGTGAACAGGGAGCATAAGGTCTCTTCTGGTATTAATACAAACTATTCATAATGAAGGCATAAGAAAATTCCTTATTTCATATTATAATAGGATTGTGAAAATATTATTAAGAGAAAAAGCTCATACAAAAGCAAAAGGAATGGCATTACTGATCTGGGCAGCTTAGAACTACAACATGCTTCCTTAATTAAACCAGCTACATTTCTGTGTAAACACCCAGAATAAATAAATCAGCATATTCTGCACAAATAAGAACAGTGTTTGCTCTACAAACAAGAAGCATTACTGATTTCCAAAATATTATTTCAGAACAGGAATAATCAAACTGTGCCCTTCTATCTAATCTAGCATTACTGCAGCTCAGTTAATTTGCCAGGCTGTACATCTTGTTTTTATGTCAGTGTAGTCAGATTTTGTTTTTAAAAACACATGATTGCACAAATTCAAGAGCTTATAAAAGAATGAAACTAAGTCCTGTGCATCCAGCATTGCTGCAGTCACCTCTGTGACCTTGTGACCTGCACGATCATCCTGCACAATCATTTCTGTCACTGGGACCAGGGGAGAGGAAGGCAGTGGGAATAAGACAGCCAGGCACTTATTAACTAAACCCAGCATGTTGACATTCCAGTAACTATAACAAGTGAAATTAATTTCCTTACTTTACCATTCCTTTGTGGTTTTCATTGGTGTGGCTGTGGCTTTCCTTCTGCTGTGCCTCTCTGTGCAATATTAAGGGATATTCCTGAATGCCTGGTCCCATTATTCCTCTTTCCAGAGGGAAACTGCACCTTTATTGTTACATAATCTTCAAACGGCTCCAGTCTTTTGGCTTTGCAAGACACAATATATCCAACGCAGACATCCCCACGTCCCGGAGATGCTGGAGACAAACAAAATCCTCCCGATGTGATTCTATTTTTAAAGCAGGAAGATAAACACAATCAGCTACCAAACTGAAAACAGTCCCCTCCCCCAGCACTCGCTTAGTGGGAAGCAGCATGGTTCAATTTACTATTCCCAGGATCAGGAGATACCTGCGGGTCCGGCAGCGCTGCCGTGCAGGGTCAGGCGCTCATCCCCGTCCGCACGCTCAGCCTGCGCAGCTCCCGGCGCTGCCCGGGGCTGGGCGTCACAGCCCCGCGGGGTGGGTGTTCCTGCTCCCGCTTCGTGGGGAGCGAGCATCAACCAACCCCCTGCGTGCCGGGCGAGCTGAGCGCTCCTTTCTCTGTCACAAAATGCGCTCTTCCGATAGGCATATACGCAAATTTTGTGTCCTATAATTTTTTTTTTTCTTTTTCCAAAACAAATGTCTCATCAGCGCCTACTAAAAATACTCAGAGCAGGATCCATTGCTTTGTTTTACTTCAGAGGAACTGCATTCCCGTACCAAGGAACTGCACGGTTCCAGGGGTTCACAATGGTCTGCAAATGTGACAGGTGACAAACAGGTCTCCTGACCTTCTCTACACTGACCCACCTTTACTTCTGGTCCAGTGCTGTTTATGCATTTACAGTCACATTAATGTCCGTATCCATTGACACTTGATCCCCTCCCATCCCTCAAACGCCTCCCCGCATCCTGTCCCGGCCGCGCTCAGCGCAGCCGAGCCCCGGAGCGCCGCAGTCCCGCACCGGCCGGGGCAGAGCAGCGGCCGCCAGAGGCCAGCGCCGGCCGGGCAGCGCCGGGGACGGTGGCAGTGCCCGGGATGGCAGCAGTCTATGGCAGGCAGTGCCCGCGGTGGATGGCAGCAGTGCCAGCAGGAGCAGACTGTGCCCGCAGCGCCCGCCGAGCCGGGCCCGCTCCGCTCCCTCCCGCCGCCGCTATCACCGCGCTCCGCAAGAGCTGCTCCTTCCCTCGGGGTCCGCCCCGCATTCCCCGGGCACCCTCGCCCCGGCCCGGTACCTGCCCTTCCTGCGCGTCCGTCAGCAGCGGCAGCGGCAGCGCCGCCCGAGCGCAGAGCGTGGGGGCCGGGCCGGGCGGGGCCGGGAAGCGGCCCCGCGCCTGCGCCGCGGGTGCGGAGCGGAGCGGCCGCGGTGTCCGGCGGGGCCCGGGGCTGCTCCCGCGGTCGGGCTGCAGCGGGAGCCGCGCCGCCCATGGGCGCTGTGGCGACCCCGAACGCGGATCCGTCCCCCGCCAGCCACGACACCGAGCCTGGCGCCGCGGCCGCGCCCGACAGCCCTCGCCCGCCTTCCAGCCTCTGCAGCAGCCCCGGCTCGCTCCTGCCCGACAGCCTCCAAGCCTATCCCGGCCTCGACTCGCCCAGCATCCAGTGTGACAGCCTGGAGTGTCCCCCCTGCTCGTGCTGCTGCTGCTGCCGCCGGAGCGCGGGCTCGGCCGCGGCCAGCGAGGACAGCCTGCAGGCCGCTCTCGCCCGCGGCTCCGGCACACGGTGCTTCGGCGGGCACCGCTCCTCCAGCGACCTCTCCGACAGCCTGGAGTCCTTCATCCAGCACGACAGCCTCCAGTCGCTCTCCAGCCTGGGTGTGAGCTCCTCCAGTATCAGCGGTGATAGCCTTGAATCCCTTTCCAGCCTGAGCCTGGGGGCCACCAGCCAGCACAGCGATCTCGAGATCGGCCAGTGAGTCTGCCTTCGGCTTCCCGCACAACGCCTTGCTGCTGGCGCTCTGCCAGTGCCACGCTTCTGCCCTTCGTTCGAAGGTGACGTTGTTCCAGGTGATCCTTGCTGTATCCAGTGCAATAACCTCAGACCTTACTGTGGCTGCCATTCCCAAATAAAGTGCTTCAGAGGGGCAGTACTCATTATTACCTGCAGTGTTACCACTGATTTTTTGTCACCAGTTAAGAATGGAAGTGCGTGGTCCTCAGAGGAATCCCAGCTACCTCTCAGATCTCTATGAGAACATGTTAAGGGCTCAAGGAGCAGTGCCACAAAGGCAGCAGCAGCCCCCAACAATCCATACAAGTAGCAGCAAGACTTTTCGGAGCAGTGCCCCAGCCAAGGAGAGCCCCCAGGCAAATAATCATGCGAGCAGCACCTCCTCCAGCTGTGACCCAGCCCTGCGGCCCATCATGCGTCGCCGAGCGAGGTCCCTGCCGACATCACCCGAGAGGAGGAAGAAAGCAGCTCTGCAGTGCCAGGAGCCTGGCTGCCACAGCCGCATGAACCGGGTCAGGTTTGCTGATGCTTTAGGTTTGGAGCTCACTGAAGTGAAAGTCTTCCAGACTGGGGAGGATCCATCCATCCCTTTGCACGTCCTTTCCAGGCTGTCCATAAACTCAGATCTCTGGTGCAGCAACTTGAACTTGGAGTTTACTATGCAATGCTTGGTCCCTGACTTCCAGCAGCCTGCAGACTGTCAGGATTTCTCATCCCGACTCCAGGAGCAGCAGGTGTGTCTGGAACGGGTGACCAGCTCAGATCTGGGGCTCAGTGGTACCATCCAGGTTCGCAATGTTGCTTTTGAGAAGCAGGTGTCCGTACGCTACACCTTCAACCAGTGGGAAAGCATCCACGAGGTGTGTGCTCGTTGGAACTGCAGCATCCCAGAGAAAAACGGGCAGGATCAGGTTGATGTGTTCACTTTCTTTCTTCCTGTGCCTCCTTTCCTCCTCCAGCTGAGCACTCTCGTCCAGTTTGCAGCAAGGTACCAAGTCAACGGCCAGGAGTACTGGGATAACAACAGAGGCAAGAATTACACCCTCAGGTGCCGGACTCATCCCCTGAAGCTGCCGAGGGAGTGTGAGGAGAGCTGGATCCACTTCATCTGAACAGAGAGAGTGGTGCTGAGCAGTGTGTCAGTGGCACTCTGTCCCTTGGCATGGCGCTCTGCTCCTTTGGCAACAGTCTTCTTTTCGAAACCTGCCAAACCTGGCCAAGTGTGCCAGGGCTGGGAGGCAGCCAGTGGCTTATACAAACTGCCCTAAACCTCTGGGAAAGTTAAAAGGGCCAGAATCTGTCGTGAGATACCATCATAGAAAAGCCATGTGGGTTTTTTGAGTTGCATGAGTCATTGCAGAATGGTTCCCAGGAATGCTGTGAGGCTACCAGAGAGCAAAACAACACATTTCTTGTTGCTAGTCATACTCTTGGTTGCATAGAATGTTTCGAACTTATCTCTCTTACCATTTTCTACAGTTTCTTTTCTAAGTGGACAGTGTGGCTTAACTGGTTTTGTTTCTAATTTTGTTTATATTACTTCACCAAGTCAGGGCACTATTCCATTTATGCATAATTTGGATGACAGACACTGTAGGGAGTACTTGTATTTATATATATATATGTTACTAAGGCTGTAACCACGTTAAGTATTCCCATTAATGTCTGAGTTGGAAATTCAATGCTACTGTGAGCAAAACACACATGAGAATGTGCCATCAGCTCCTCTGTTTCCCTTGGGAAAAAAACAAAAGGTGCCTTTTCCTATCTCCTCCTTGCAGCAGGAGTGATTACCAAAGTGTGTGTAAGGCAGATCCGCACGGGGAAATTCTCACCTTTGGCAAGTGATGCCCAAGTAGGTTTTTCCCAAGGTGGTGGTACAGGAATTGTGTTTTTTCTGGTGCACCTGCTTTTACTAAGGGAAACAATACTGGATTTGTGTTGCAAATGCTGTTGAAGGTCTCAAAGCACTGTATGAATGCTCATGATTTTATCACTGTTCCTGGTAAAATTATAGCTCAAGAAATGGATATGATATAAATAAGTATATATAAGGAAAAGAAATAGTACAGGGAGCAGGGTACAGAGGCTTGGAATAGCATTCCAGAACCCTGAATCACAGTTGTTTCTCAGTGTTCCAGAACTACTGCAGAATTAGCTTTGACTTCTTTATTTATCTGCTTGCCATTGTAAAACAGTTGAACTCCCAAGACTGCAGCCTTGCAACACAAGCAGAAACTGGAAAACACTTAATTACACAGACCCATAAAAAGAATCCCTTCTGCTGCAGGGAGAACACAGGAACACTGTTAGACCACCTTCCTGTGCTTCTTGTTTTACTATTTTTGTTCTGTGGTTTTAGTGTGGTTTAAGATTTGCAATAGGCTTAAATTTATAAAGTAAAAGTTTGTCCATAATTTGTCCCATACGTAATCATTACTGCATGGAAATTTAGCTTTATATGTGTAACATAGACTTTCAGAGCTGGCTGGCTGGAGATATTAGAAGAGATGTGTTTTAGGACTATGCTATGAAAATCAGGCCACTTACTTGGGCATCTTATTTTGGATTGGTGCTTACTTATCAAAATCACAAGTTGTTTGTAAAATCACAGTTGTAAGCAACCCTTGGCCAGTTATATATTAGTCTGAAAAGTCCACTGAGTAATTCTGGAAGTGCAGAAACCCCAAGAAAATTAATTTGTGTGGCAACTTAATGCTAATTCTTTGTTGTGATACCCATTTAGCAAAGCTGGGCTTTCCAGTGAGGAAGCTGCCTCGTTCCATTGGTCTTTGACTTTCAGAGGAACCAAAGTCAGGAATGAGGATTCTGTGAACTGCTGAGCACCTTTTTCAGAGTACTCAGAAAGGTCAGTCCTATCTGAACATGCACACACATGCACAGAAGTACTTGTGCTGAATAAAAAGCACTATTTTCAAGCATTGTTCCCCCCCTCTTTTTCCTTCTCACATTAGTGTTGTTCTTCCACCAGCAAACAGAGCACACCCTAAAAACTTCTTTCTTACCAGACACCAGTTCACAGTGGGTGTTGCTGGAGCTCAGAGCAATACTTGCTTTCGTGCCAGAAGGATGTTTCTGTCTTCTGGGACAGACTGTCATTGCTAGCAAATGTCAGAGCTGAGTGTTCCCTTGGCCAGGTCAGATTTTGTAAAGCTGAGGCTGTCACAAGAAGGGTTCATGTCAGATGTAGCACAGCGTGAGAGGAGTGGAGAAATTAATGTCTCAGCAGTCTCAGCTGCGCTTCTATTGTCTTCCTTCCACAACCTCTCAGGGTTTTGGCATGTGCAAGGTCTTGAATACTAAATACTGAAGCATTATTCCAAGTTTCCTTTTGCTCTGTGCTGGTCTGCACTGCTGGGGAAGGGCTGACAGTGCAGTTCTGGCACTGCTGGCTCAGTGGAGCAGAGAGCCATCTCCGGGTTAAGCTGCTAAACCTTCACACCAGCACTGACACCTGTCACAGCTGAGCTGATATTTGCACTTAGGTTTGATTGCCACACTCAGTAATGAACATCAAATGGCTTCTTGTTGACAAAAATGGGATTAAGCCATTTAGTGCTAATGTGCACTTGTTGTGAAGGTAAACTTACACCACATTTGTATCTTCTCAGGACAACTTGACTGCTTGCACTGTGTTCAAACTGAGCACTTCCCTTATAATGAGGATTTTGTAAAAGTGAATTCTTCACAAAGATTATCACCATATCATGCACTTTTAAAAACATGTAT